GAAGTGAGAGATTTTCCTGGTGGAGGGGCTGTCGGGTGAGGGAAAGGAAGGAAAGAAGTTCAGGGCTCAGGTTTCTGCATGGAGCACCAGGGTGAAGGGTAGTTGGTTGAGGTGAGAAAACCTGGCAGGAAAATCTAGTCTGAGGCATGTTAGCTTTAAATACGTGACAGAAATGCAGTTAGAGATGTGCAGAGGTTATTAGACACCCAGGACTTGAGTTCAGAGCCAAGGTCAGAGTAAGAGGTAGACATTTGAGAAGCATCAGCACACAGATGGGATTTAAAGCCATGATGAGATTTTTCAAATGTGTCAGTCAGGCAGTTCATATCAGAGCAGCTTCTCAGGCCTGCAGTGGAAGCCCAAGCCTGGGCTTTGGCTCTGACAGGGAATGCTGGGCTGCAGTGTGGAGTTAAAGCACACCTTGAAGTGCCCGAGGAGGGTGTGGGGAGATGGACTGCACATATCTTGGTGTGGGAGGGCAACTTTAGGGTCATCCTTGGGTTGGTTTGGAAGAGTACCATGAAATACTTAAAACTGCTGTACCCTTTAGCCTTTCAGTTACATTTTAGAAATGTATCCAAAGGAGAGACCAGCAGATGGCTTAATGGTTATGTCGCTGGACTCCCACGTAGTTGACCATGGTTCATGTCTCAGACCCGGCACCTTAAGAAAACACACTTAGTGTGTGTGTGTACATGCCCAAAATCCCAAGAGGAGAATGGAGGAGAAGGGATTGTGGCATGGCCAACCCCCACCCCTTGCCCCTGGGGTGATTTCTTGCTTTCTGTCTCACTGTCTCTTTCTCTCCAGCAATGCATGCACCCTATAGCAAAAATCTCTCTTTTAAAAAAAAAAATGAGAGAGAAAGAAAGAAATTTATCCAAAGGATACAACCAAGGACCTCATCTTTTCATCTGTGAGACGATTTCATCACAGCAGTACTTATCATAGTGAAATTTAACAGTGTCTAAAAAATGAGGAACTGGTTAACTAAAGTATGGGACTGCTATGTAATTGAATATTGTATGTCATTAAAATTATGTTTTAGAAACCTGTTTATAAAAAAGAATGTGGGGGGAGGGGACCAGCAGATGATGTAATGGCTAATGGCTACGTCGCTGGACTCCCACATAGTCAACTACAGTTCAAGTCCCAGACTAAGCGGCTTAAAACTCATACCAGGTGTGTGTGCATGCACAAGATACTGAGAGGAGAAAGGAGGAAAAGGGATCGGAGCGTGGTTACCGCCCAGGGAGGTGATCTCTTGCTTTCTGTCTCTCTGTCTCTCCAGTGAGCTCATGCACTCTATAGCAAAATACCTCTCAAAAATAAACTAGGACCAGCAGATGGCATAACGGTTACATCGCTGGGTTCCCATGTAGTTGACTACGGTTCAGGTCCCTCAGCCGGTGGCTTAAAATTCATGCCAGGCTCACATGTGTGCGTGCCCAAAATCTTGAGAGGAGAATGGAGTAGAAGGGATTGTGGCATGGCCATCCGCCCTGGAGAGTAATTTTTCGCTTTCTGTCTCTCTCTGTCTCTCTGGTAAGCACACGTGCCCTATAGCAAAAATCTCTCTAAAAAAATAAATAATTTAAAATGTGATAATATTGAAAAATATTCTCACTATAATAAGTAAATAAAAATTAGAGGTGGTAGTATGGTTCAGGTTTTGTAGTATGTACATAGTGCATGTGTCCCTATTTTTGTCTAGAAAACAAAGTAGGCATATCTGTAGTAAATATCCCTGAGAGCTGAGATCATGGGAGGTTCTACTTTATTCTTAGAGCTTTTCTGGATGTTCCACATCATGCTTTTGTATCCAGGCTCTCTAACTACAATTTATTTTCTCCCGCAGAAAGTAGATCTCTTCAGCCTGGGAATTATCTTCTTTGAGATGTCCTATCACCCCATGGTCACAGCCTCAGAAAGGATTTTTGTTCTCAACCAACTTAGAGATGTACGTATCAAATGTTTTAGTTCATATATTTCCAGTGATCTGAGTCTTAGCACAGAGACCAGGACTGAAGGCAGAGTATTTTCCTGATATTTATAATATCAAAGAGGTTGTCATTTTTTTTTTTCAATCTAAATCTCGTTTGATCAATTTAATCAATTAATGATGTAATGTCTCATTGCTTTTCAATAATTAATCCTTCCTTTTTTCACCCCTCCCTTCTATCCTCTCCATTAAGAGAAATTATTTTTAACCTTAAAAAGACATAATATCATTTTACTAATAAATTTTGTCAAATCATTTATTTTTTCTAAAAAGTTATTTTGACAATACATTAGGCAAAATAATGTCTTAGATCTCAGGAAGATATTTGACTTCCTAAACATTATTTATCTAGGCTATAGTAGTTATTTATCTGTTTATTTTTACATTTATTCACTGTACATCTTTATGGCACACAAAATGAATTTTGCCACCTTAAATACACTGCATATCAGTCCAGTCAAAGACATTGCCATGCACATTATCATCAGCAGACAATCTTCCATTTTTGTGTCCACTAAATATTTTGCCTTTTTTCCCCTTGATTTCCTCTTCCCCTCCCCATCGTCTACCCTTCTTCTGCACTGTCTTTAGTTTGCCATTACTATATATATATAATTTTTTAATTTCAAGAGAAGCAGTTTTAACTTTAATGAATCAAAATTTTAAAAAATGTTAAGAAAAATTTGCTTAAGACTCTTAAAGCCAGGAAAAAGGTTAGGATTGTGTTCAAATAATAGGTAAACACTGAAAATGCAAAAACAAATATGGACAGAACTAAAATCTAGTAACAGTGGAGGCTGGAGGACAGAGGCTGTAATTTTAATGCCTCATTTCCTGAGACAAGTGAGGTTAACCATTTCTTCTATTTGCAGCAAAAATATTTTCTCTAAGCAAGGGAAGTCACCTCGCTTAAGTTTTTGAAACAGCAATTTTGGTAATTGAAGACTGTTTGCACTTAGGAAACATCATATTGGTCTCTCTTCTGTATTTCTACTAAGTGGAAATCCACCTCTGCTCACACACCTCCAGTGATAAGATTATTTTTAAAGAATTATTTTATTTAACTTTATTTATTTATTCATTTTTTCAGTTTGATCAGAGAGAGACAGAGAAAGAGAAAAGGAAAGTGAAAAAGCAAACCACCAGGTCTGGGACTCGAACCACAGTTACCCATGTAGGAGTCTAGCACCCATACCACCTGACGGCCCCAGACTTACCTAGCTTTTGTTTGTTTGTTTTTTGTTTTTTGTTTTTGTCTTGTTTTTTGTTTTGTTTTGTTTTGTTTTTGTTTTTGTTTTTGTTTTTGTTTTTGCATGTTACCAATATAGTTAGAGCAGAGGGAATGATCTAGAAGAATAATGGCTATCAAGTTGTAGAAATTAAAGATTACTACTATTCAGGCCTGGTGTGCCTAATTAGAAGTTAAAATGAGTCAGAAAAATATCATCTCATTTTTTTTTCCCTAGTGAAATCTCCATTTGTGTTCTTGCAATTAATCCTTAACCTATGCTACTGCCTGAGCTAAAAGGGAATAATATTATGGTGTATGTGGTCAAGGGAGCCCATTAGAAAATGCCCTTAAGGGTCACATGGCATAATGGTTATGTTGCTGGACTCCCACGCAGCCAGCCGTGGTTCGAGTCCGAGACCTGGTGGATTAAGACTCACACTGGGGGTGGGGGCAGCACATGGAGTGGTGGTTAAAGGTACTAGATTCTCACATGGCCTACTATGGTTCAAGTCCTGGACCTGGCAGCTTGCTTTCTAGCTTTCCCTTTCTCTCCCTCTCTGTCTCTCTCTGGTCAAATTAAAACATAATAACAAATGGAATTAAATTAAAAAATAAATCTTTTTTTTAAAAAAGGGGAAAAAATTCATGCTAGGTGCGTGTGCATGTATGAACAAGATCCCAAGAGGAGAATGGAGAAGGGATTGTGGTGTAGCCATCCTCCTTGGGGGCTGATTTCTAGCTTTCTGTCTCTCTGTCTCTCTCTGTATCTCTCTGTCCAACAAGCACACATGCCCTGTAGCAAAACTCTCTAAAAAAGTTAAAATTAAAATAAAAAATGTCAGGGCCAGCAGGTGGCGTTGGTGGTTAAGGGCACTGGACTCCCACGTGGCTGACCGTGGTTTGTGTCCTGGTTTGTGCTTTCTCACTTTCCCTCTGTCTCTCACTCTCTTACTCTGTCCCTCTCTGGTCAAATTAGAAATAAATAAATAAAGTAAATACAATAATTCTAAAATTAAAAATAAAAAGTCTTAGAAAAAAGAAAAAGAAGAAAATATCCTTAAGATGAAAGTGGAAAGTACGATTTGGGTGAGGGTGATTTAGACTCACATATTCATGAGCACAAGGCCTACAGAGTCTTCCCCGTCCTTACTGGACTGAGCAGAGCAAAGCTGAGAGATCTGGTAAGTTAAATGATTATGCTGGAACTTAGAATACCGTCCTAGCTATTTTGGAAAAGAGTTGAAGTATTGTACTGTGGTTGTGGTATGGACAGTTGTACTCATAGAGTAAAAGGAGTGAATAAAGTGAGTAGTCTCACCTCACCCTGGTCGGAATCGTCTTAGATGGTTATGTCCTTGATGAAGTGTCTTTGTTTTGTCTGTTTATTCCTTTATTTCAGGAATATCTAAAATGCATTATAATTGAGGTTCTGTTTAAAGGTGAGAATTTTTTTGGAGGCAGAGGTTTTAGCGTCCATGTTGTCCTCTTACTGACTGTCTTGGTGGTTTTATATCTTTGCCATCACTCGAGGTGCGTTCTATAACTCTGGCTGTCATTTGGGTAACATTTGT